TCCAAATGGCCTAATATTATTTTTGTATTGCTGTGCTTAAAGAGCAAAAAAATATCTACATTTTGGCGCAAACCGCAATTCAATATCTGGATTCGTTTTCAAGTTACGTAAGGTCTATGGTCTCCATAATATCGTACCTGGCCGACCTTAGTGAGACACCCTGTATTGAAATGGAGATTTTGTAATGATGTTAGAGTTTTTTTCAACTAATCTGTACTCGCTCCATCGATTGGAAAAGTCAAAATAGCAAAAATCTGAAAAATGAAAATTTTGAGTTTTTAAATTTTTTTCCCTTTGAATTTTTTTTTTCAAAATGTTCAAACTCAATTTTTTCGAAAGCCGTCAAAGATTTTAGATCAATTTATTTTGAGATTGGAGCCCTTGATGAGGGCTTTAAAATGGTACTTGGTTGAAGTCGTTGGCATTTACGGTTTTTGAAAAAATTTAGTTTGAAGTTTTTGATACTTTTTCGACTAAAATTCAACTTTGAGGTGTAATTGCTCGGAAAGTATTTGAGCTATGGAGCTCAATCTTGCATTGATTTATAGAAAATTTAATGCTCTTTTCAACAATGGATAATTTGTTTTGATTTGCTCAAATTTCAATGGAAATATTGGCAATTGCTCCTAACTTTGTTAAGATTTAAAAAAAATTTATACCTGAAAATTGAGATTTTCTTCTGATTTTTTTTTCCTTTTGAAAACGAGATTTGGAAATAAAGTTAAAGTTTTTTTCGACTAATTTAGATCCGCTCTTCCGATTGGAAAAGTCAAAATTCAAAAAATCTGAAAAATAAAAATTTCGATTTTTTCAAAGGGTTAACCCCTTTGGATTTTAGTTTCAAAATTTTCAAACTCAATTTTCGCGAAACCCGTCGAAGATTTTGGATCAATTTTTGAAATTGTAGCCCTTGATTAGGACTTCAAAATGGTACTTAGTTAAAGTCACTGGCATTTACGGTTTTTAAGAAAATCGAGTTTGTTTGAAGTTTTTGACCAAATTTCAACTAAAATCCAATTTTGAGACTTAATTTCTCTAAAAGTATTTGAGTTATCAAACTTAATCTAGCACTGATTTATAGAGAATTTGATGCTCTTTCTAGTCATATATAATTTATTTCGATTTGCTCAAAATTTGATAGAAGTATTGCCAATTGCTCCTAACTTTGTCAGGATTCAAAAAAAATTTAAACCTGAAAATTGAGATTTTTTTTTTTAAATTTTTCTCTCTGTTGAAATCAAGATTTTGATTGATGTTAAGAGTTTTTTTCGACTAATTTAGACCCGCTCTATCGATTGGAAAAGTCAAAATTCAATAAATAGCAACAATAAAAATTTCGAATTTTTAGATTTTTATTTCAAAATATTTGATCTTGAAAATCTTAAAATCTACTAAAGATTTTGAATTAAAATTTTCAGGAAATGTAACTCTTGACAAGGGTTTTAAAATAGTATTTATTTAAAATCGCTAGCTCTTATGGTTTTCGAGAAAATTAAGTTTGAAATTTTTGATAAAATTTGGACTAAAAGTTTACTTTGAGATCCAATTGCCCAGAAAGTATTCGAGTTATCAAAACCAATTTAGCATGAATTTATAGAGAATTTAATGCTCTTTTCAACCATATATAATTTGTTTTGATTTGTTCAAATTTATTTGAAGATGTTGGCCATTATTCCTAACCTTGTCAAGATTTGAAAAAAATTCCAGAACGAAAATTAAGATTTTTTAGCTTTTTGAAATCGCCATTTTGAAAGTGATGTTAGAATTTTTTTCGATTAATTTAAACTCGCTGAATCAATTGGAAAAGTCAAAATTTCGAAAATATGAAAAATAAAAATTTCGAGTTTTCGATTGGTTTGACTGAAACAAGCAACGCCACTGGCCGAACAAAATACATGTTGCCAACTTGAAAAATAACCGGCCAATAGGAACAAGAGCCTAGACTAGAGAGAAATTGAAATATAAAAAGGGAAACATATATAAATATATCAAAAGAACAAATACAAATTTATATAAAAATCAAAGGACCTCACACACCACCTATGTGTATTTGGTTTTCTGTCAAACAAATGAAATTTGTATGTCAATGAAGTAAAATTTCAATACATTACGAGTGTATGCCATTTTAAAAATATTCAAAATTGATGAAATTTCAAAATCACCAGAAATTGCCATTTTTAAAAAAATTCACCAATCACCAGATTTTTCATAATCTGGTGAAATTTCACCAGACCTGGCATCACTTTTTTAAACTATACGTTGTGTCCTTTATTCTATCTTTGGAACTCAACAGTGTTATAAGTGTTCAATTTGTAGAATTACTCAATTTGGTCCAGTCTCCAAAAAAGTAATTAACATCAGGTAAGCCTTCGAGCATAGACTTTCTAGTTTCTGAAAAACCCCGATTTTATTTATTCAAAAGGAGTTAATTAGTTTTTTGATTTTGAACAATTTCCCCTGCAACGTACTAAATCCCTTTAATTCCCTCCTTTTTTTTTGTAAAATTAAAACCATCGGACAGGTGGCATTAAAAAAGTTCATATTCGAGCTTTAGAAATGCAGTTTGGAATTGACAAGCGGAACGAATTTTAATCGGCACTGAAAGTTGTTAATTTTATTTGGATTTGCCTTGGGGAATTTTTCAATTTGAGAAATTAACTATTAGCGGATACTAAACAGTGGCGCGTGTTTGTACCAAAAATATGAATTTTTGGAGACGTTAGCAGAGCGTTTCTACATATTTCATGATAAGTGCGCCCGCTTCATGCCGTAAAAGACCCTCACCTAAAATTACTTTTCCGAAATGGTTAAGAGAGAAAAACGACCAAACAAATAATCGGAATTTATAGCTTATGTTATAATTCGGAAAAGAACGACCAACATCCAGGAATAAAAGTCCTCTCTTCCCTGGCCTCTCCAGAGATAATAGAAATTTTATTACGTCCTTATGTCATTTATCTTTTATCAAAATAATAGGGAATATTCGCGCGTACCACGTCAACTATCCAAAGACGGTAATCAAATATATTTGTTACCTTCTCTTTCTCTTACCTAAGAGAATATTATTATGAGCACGATTACGCTAATACAATCTATATTACTTAATTTCTCAGGCTATGATGCACACTTATTTCTTATAAAAAAAAAATTGACATTCCTATCTACATCGATTTCGCCATGATAAATTTGCGAATTATAAAATTGGTCAAAGTTCGGTTAATATTAGACTAATTTCTTTGTCTAGGAAAAACGTCATTTGATGGGATTGGATTGTGTGAAAAGCAAATAAAACCAAATTTCTTTAATATCACAGAGAGCAGTCCTTTAAATTTGCTTTAAATCAAATACTTATACACACTTTTATAATATGAAAACAAAAGTTTCATACCGTCAAAAACTTTCCAAATGCCAAAAGTCACTAATATTTATCATGGAGACGACTTCGCATCAACTTGTTGCTTGTGTCTTTGTCTTTTGGTCCCTCGATCCCGCGGGATTTTATCTATATAGGTATATAGGTTTATTATCAAGAAGAAAATGGGAACAAAAGGAAATTTTAAATTGCCAAGGATGCTATAACGGTAAAACTTCCCCTGAATACTCCAGTTATGTAAGATAGATCACGAGTTTTTATTTATTTATATATTTATTTATGCGGGAACTTTCTGTATTATGTCATCAACAAATGGAAGGAGCTCACAATGTAAAAATATTCCTCGTGCACATATTATGACTGTCACGTCTCGCGTAAATTATGCATAAGAAGATTCATAGGTCTATTTAAGAAAGTGCACATTTTCGTAACTTTGGCTCATTTGTAATGCATGAAACTCGCACGGCCACAATAAACCCTTCATATTTATCGCCCTGGACGGGTTTTTTCGGCCACAAAAAATAATATACGAAGTTAGGTAACTATGTTTTTTTGTGAAAGCTTGTCTCATAAAAATATTACGTATAACTTTTACGATTCTCTCCCTATGTTTCTCATAAGTCTGCAGCGGTATAGGGGACTGCGGCCGCAACGGCCTCGTAAAACTACCTTTGAACGTTAAATTGGGGAAATGGCGTATCGCTGAATGACAAACCAGTGGCTGCGCATATTTTCTTATAAATTTTATTATTGTAAAACATTCAACTTTACAATTTTGAGAGAACAAAGAACTATGGCGGAATTCTCTAACGGATAGAGATCTTTATCCCTATCACTATGGCACTTGTTGTCTTCTCTCTTTTCGAAGCCAATACAATAGAGGCGAAACGTCAATAGAGATAGAAAAAATATCTCTATTCGTTACAGAATCCCAGCCCTGATTTCCCAAATCGTAACAGGATCAGCGATTCAGATCTAACCATCAGAAGACAAAATAACTCACAAAATAAGAAAAGTCACATTGTCATATTTATACAAACCTTTATAATTAATTATGTTTCTTTTCGACTGTCAGCTTTGTCATTTTTTTTATCATATTATCCCTTTCTTTTTGAATATCATTATAAATATACACATGTCTTAATTATATTTTCGATTCAGAAACTTGTACTTTTAAAAAACATTTATTTTATTAATTAAAATACAATAGTGACAAACGAAAATAATATGTGGATCAAATTGCTACAGCGAATGCCTGAAAACAAATGAACGCTCCTTACGGGACTGCGCTGGCTTAAATAAGAAATAATTGCTGATGCCAGCATTTGCGTTGGCGGAATGGTGGTACTACCAGTGCAGTACCGCTGATTAAGCATTTTTACATTATTATAAGTTTTGACATAGGCGTACGCTTATAATTATCATAGGAAAGGAGAATTATTAGTATAAAAATTAGATAAGGTCTCACAATAATATAACTAGATCATAAACACTTATATCTAATAAATGAATAATGAATAACAACAACAATAACAAATTTTATCACTAATTTACAATTTGAACTTCTACAATAATACCATAACATTATTATTTTAATTGTAACTTATAACCTAAAATTTCTACTTTTCTAATTCTCTTGCAGTCCTATTTTTTCTCTCAATTCCTTGAACTGAGGAGATTCCAATGATTTTGTCAATAAATCAGCTTCTTGGTGACCTGTGGACAAATATTCTAAACGGACAATCTTGTTTTCAACTTGCTCTCTTGTGAAATGGTATTTAATGTCAATATGTTTTGAACGTCTATGATTTGTTGGATTTTTTGCCATTGCTATACAATTTTGGTTGTCTTCAAATAAAATGATTGGATCAAACATATTGACATTCAGACTAACTAACAAAGATTTACGCCACAAACACAGCCATGTATTCTGCCTCAGTTGATGAAGTTGCAACTGAATTTTGTCGCCTCGTAATCCAAATCACAATATTATTGAATAATTTGAATAAATAGCCTGTTGAACTGCGGCGATCCACATCATCATTTGCCCAATCAGCATCAACATACCCTGTTAGTATTTATTCATTATTTTGATAACGTTTATATACCAATTTTAAATTCAACGTTCCTTTTACATATCTTAATACCCGTTTTAAACATAGCCATAGTTCTTTTAGTTTGATATCTGCTTAGAATATTTACACAAATCTGGACGTGTACATAACATTGCATACATTAAACAGCCAAATAAATTTTAACAGGGTGCATCATAAAAATTATCCTCTAAATTTATTGCTGAATAATTTAATTTTACAGGTAATGGTGTACTGACTGGGTTGCAATCGCTCATATTAAATTTTTTCAATACTGATTCCAAATATGAGGTTTGATCAAATGAGATTTCAGAATTTGACCTATTTATTCTTATGCCTAGAAAATAATTTATTTGTTTCAAGTCACTCATCTCAAACAGTTTCATTGAAAACCTTTTAATATTATTCATTGTATTAATTTCTTTAGTTGCTATTACTAAATCATCCACATATAAAATTATATATATACTTTTATCAACGTCGGCTCTGTTCAAGAAATATAAACAATTATCAAATCAAATCAAATCAAATCAAATATGCTTTATTGTCCAAAATACAGGGTATTCATTGACAAAGCCTTATAACTACTTATAAGTATGTATAAATGTCACTAGTACTTCTAAAAAATATAAAAAACAAATACTTAAATCTAGTGTTTATCTTTTTTTTTCCGTTCTTGATTACATTCCACGTCAATTTGAAAATTAAAACAATACAGATTAAAATTAAAATACAAAAATAACTTAAAAGAAAAACATTACAAATTTAGATAAAACAAATTAGATAAAACAATCACAACTATACAGATGTGGCTCCAACAATAGGTACATCACAGCATTAAAACGAATACAAACAGCAAAACTTTGAGCACAAGACGAAAATTGTACTTAAATTTAAAAGCTGCACAATTAAAGCTCGAAAGCTGTCTTGATAAAATTCCTCTAGGCTATAGTATGCCTTACCAGCAAGGAGGTCCACCACGGTCTTTCGAAATGGTTTATATGGCAAAGATCTACAGGTCACATTAAGATGGTTGTAAATCTTAATACTCTCGTACATTATAGAGCGCTTAGTTAAGGTAGACTTTGGGATTGGAAGACGAATATTAGAACTCTGCCTGGTATTATAAGCATTCTGTCTATTATCCCAAGTGACACCACCTGAGTACTTCCGGTGTATCAAACAAACCGTTTCTAAAATAAACAAACATATCACAGTTAAAACCTTGAATTTAACAAATAATGGTCTAGAGTGATCCCTGGGATTCGCTCTGCGCATATATCTAAGTGCTCTCTTTTGAATAACAAATATAGAGTTCAGAAGTTGCAGACTAAAAAAGCCCCAAAACACCGTTACTGAACTTACAAATCCTTTTTCAATCAATACGATATTAAAGCACTCGTACCAGCATCGAGCCGATTGCTTCAAACCATATAAGGATTTATTTAATTTACACACTAGATTATTTTTGTGTGTTATAACACCCTCAGGCACCTTCATATAAATGTTTTCCTTCAATGTGCCATTAAGAAATGCTGTCTTAACATCCATTTGATGAATTAACAGCTCATATTGATTCGCAAATGCAGTCATGCACTTGAATGTACTAATACGTGCAACTGATGCGAACGTTTCGTCGTAATCCAAAGTTTTTCTTTGGCTAAAATCACGCGCTACCAAGCAAGCTTTATATTTAACCCAATTTGCGTTACTATTGCCTTTTACTGTAAACACCCATTTACAATCGACAATATTTTCATTACTTGGCTTTTGTACTAAAGTCCAAGTTTTATTTCGCTCTAATGATTTCAACTCATCCTTAATTGCTGCTTCCCAGTCAATTCTGGATGCACTTTTAGCTACATCTTGATATTATTTAGGAATGTCATTTTCAAATATTTGACCAATCAAATAATTATTAATATCAAAATTATCTTCTCTATAAGAGATTATTGGTTAAGCTTTCAGTCTTTCACTTCTTCTCACTTCCTGATCCCTATTATTTATTTAAATTCCTCAAATTGTTATTTGAGGTATACGGACTTTCACTATCACTGTCCGAGCTTGGACTTTTATGTTCAGGGACATCCTTTATGGAGGATGTTTGACTTGGAGTGAAATTTTCAGGAACAACTTTTTCAATAAGTGTTTGCTTGCACTTCTTTGGGTCCGTTTGACATTCAGGAATGACTTTATCTACAGATTCACTATCAACACTTCCTGTTGATAAATTATCTGTACCTTGCGGTACATTTTCTTCTGTATTTATATCGTTATGAATATCGCCACCAATTTTCATCAAATCATCAAGTTCTTGTCTTGATGTTTTATTCGTGCAACTATAAATTTTTCTGATTTTGGATCAAAATTTTTATATCTATTTGGCACATAACCTACAAAAATTCCTTTAGATGATTTACTATCGAATTTGATTCTCTTTGTTTTAACGTGCACATAAGCTGTGCAACCGAAAAAAAATTTATTTTCTACTTTACTATATATATAGATCCATAATACCTAGGAAACGAAATACGTTAACATACCTATAACAACCTGATCCATAACGCCCGCTTTTGCGGGCGTTATGTTCTATATCGCCCGCTTATAATACCCTGAGGTGTTTTGGTTGTTTCATTAATTTGCACTTTACCCTAGGCAGCCACTAAATGTCTGATCGAAAATAATTTTCGGTCTGGCCAGGATTCGAACCCGGTCTACCATCAACGTTTCCCATGTAGTCCAGCGCGTTAACCCACACGACCACCACCGTTGCCTTGCCTTATGAGATGTTTATAGATATACTAGCTGACCCAGCGAACTTCGTACCGCCTCTGAATTATTAAATACCCATTAAATGTTGTGTTAACGTATTAGTCCGGGAAACTTGGGAATATAGGTCAAAAAAAATCCCAGAGTTTTTCTGAGACCTGTTTTGGGTTCCTGTGATAGTGCTCTACAATGTATATAAAGTCCCCAAAAATCCCCTCATTGGCATTTTTTTTAGAGGCCTTTTAAATATAAACTACTTTTACACTAAAAGTTGAAAAGTAGCAATAGTTTCATGTTCGCTGTGAGACGTCGGGGCCATGTTCATATGCATTTGTTCGATTGGTATGCATGACCACTGTACCAACACACCAGAAAAACATCACGGTAAGTCCTATTGCCCGATAAAAAGGGTGTAACTCGCGGCAAATCTCGCTCAAACCCGCAGAATTCCCGTTTCTTTCGCGTTTCTTCGTTGCTAACCTCGTTTTGTCTGTTGGTGGCATTGCAGAAGTGTTCAGGACTTATTAATTTTATTTATAATAATTTCGGTAGTACAGTTTTTGGAAAGAACAATGAAATTTGTCGGGCGTATATTTCTTGAAACCATGCTGCGATGCACTCGAAACCATAAATAAACACAAATTACTCGTCTACTCATGTCCTGTCAGTGTTCACTTTTTGCCGCAGAACATTCCACAGGGAAAGCCCAAAAAGTGAGGTTAGGGTTGTCTAACTGTAAATACAAGGTATATACACTTCGAAAATCCCGAAAGGTGAGAAAATCCCGAAAGGTGAAGTCGTTTAACGTACCTCTCTGTCACTTGATCGCTCGTGGTGTCTGGTGTAGCGTTTGCGACATGACTTGTGCACCTTCACACTCGTTCCTCCTTCAAGCACGGTAGAAATGCCATCTTTTCTCACTTCACTGACGGCTTTTAAGGTGTTTAGTCCACGACTCACTTCAATAAGTTCACATTCAGCTTCTCCACCACACTAAGGCAAAATACACTTCACCATGGTGCCACAATACTTCTCTTGATAACTCTAAAAACATTAGGAATATTCTTAAACTTCCAACGGAACGCGTATTCCCCTCTTGCACAGTGGGCACCATGGCGACCGTGGCCAACAACGTGATCGTCGAGAACGTGATGCGAACGGGAAACCATGGCGGTTTTGAACAAGTGCATTCACCGCACTGCACACGCGCACACACGCACTTGCACACATACACGCACTTACACACATAGACACACACACACACAGACGTACTTGTAGCACACGTGCCCACCACGCTAGCAGACCAGCGCCAACGGCCACATTTTCTGGCATATCTCTGTTTCGAGTTCAGATACGCGGCTTATTTCCGGAACCTTGAGATACAGTTTAACGCCAGTACTGTTCCAGTCACTCCCGAACACTTCTTCAATGTCACCAAAGCTTAAAATAAAGTTCGGAACGAAGAAACGCGAAAGAAACAGGACTTCTACGGATTTGAGCGCTATTTGCCGCGAGTTACACCCTTTTAATCGGGAAATACGACTTACCGTGATGTTTTTCTGGTGTGTTGGTACAGTGGTCATGCATTCCAACCGAACAAATGCATATAAACATGGCCCCGACGTCTCACAGCGAACATGAAACTATTGCTACTTCTCAACTTTTAGTGTAAAAGTTGTATATATTTAAAAGGCCTCTAAAAAAAATGCCAATGAGGGGATTTTTGGGGACTTTTAATGCGTTGTAGAGCACTATCACAGGAACCCAAAACAGGTCTCAGAAAAACAAATTGATGAAAAAACATTGTGTTGAGTAGAAAATAAAGCATTGTATGCACCACGGGGATTTCAAGATTATAATGCCCTTCAGGCGAAATATATCCCTCGGGCCATAGGCCCTCGGGCTAGTTTCGCCTTCGGGCATTATAATCTACATAATCCCCTTGGTACATAAATAGCTATAAGGTATTATAAGCGGGCGTTATAGATCATAACGCCCGCAAAAGCGGGCGTTATGGATCAGGTTGTTATAGGTGTGTTAACGTATTTCGTTTCCTAGGTATTATGGATCTATAATAGTAAAGTAGAAAATAAAATAAGTTACAGTATAATGTGTATAATCATCAATGAAGTTGACGAAATAATTGTTATTATCTATTGTAGAAGGTGTTATTGGACCACATACGTCCGAATGCACAATAAATAAAGGTCTTTGTATATACCTTTCGTCTTTTATCTTTGCGAAAGGAAGTGTGTGTTTGTTTTCCGCTAATACATGCTTCACATAAGGAATTAATAGGATTTATTCCTTTTAAACAGATATTATCACTTGCTAAGTCATTTCCTTTAATTTAAAAAAAAAAAAATTTCACTTATGTGACCCAATCGGTAATGCTACATTTTATTTTTGTCAATTATAATATTAACTTCAGCCACATGACCTACAGCCCGTGCTGTTGTATGCGCATTTTGTATTATTAATTCTATAATATACAAGTTATTTATGCGCTTACCTGTAATCATGGTCGTATTCCCCTTTTTGATCTCCACCAAGCCAGTTTCTGTGAATATCACTGACATTCTAGCCTCCTGGATACGTCTCACTGAGATGAGATTTGCTGGCACACTCCTACTGTAGAGGACATCCATCAGCTCTCCGCTGTAGCCAAGGGTTGTGTTGACTTTTATGCTAACACTAACAATATGTGTTGCCTCGACAACTTCTCCCATCTTTGCTACAGTTATGCGAATTGGCTCAGCCAGTGGTTTGAAATCAGTGAAAAGTGCTAAATCATTTATAATATGTCCTGATCCATCATATTCGATATGAGTCGAATTTCCATTGCACATCATAAAAGCAAATGATTCCTCCACCACTGCTGTTGAAGCACTAGGTTGATGATTGTTCTTTTTGTTGTTTTTATCTTGCATTTTTAAACTTTGTTTGTAAAAATAACAGTCACGTTTAAAATGGTTTTTCCTACCACAATGGAAACATTTTTGAATTGGCTTATAGTCTAGGAAAATTGTCGATTTTCAAAAAAAAAAAATCCTACCCAAAAGAATTGGAAACTTTCAATGCGAATATCTCTGAAAGTAAAAAAGTTGGAAAAACGTAATTTGGTAAAAATGAAACACAGGTAGGAGAAACTATAGAACCACCATATTTTCGTTATCTCATGCACCCCAACCCCAATTTTTTAAATGGTACAACCCCTTTTGTGATACCTAAAATCAAATATTTTTTGAAAAAATTCTTGTGCAGGTGAATACTATAAGTACTCAAAAATATTGAACTTTATATCACATGCTATTCAAAATTTTAAAGTTGGGGTGCATGGGGCTTAAGGGATCACTAACCCTATAACCAAAATATGGTAGTTCTAGTTCCCCCTACCTGTATAACATTTGTATCAAATTACGTTTTTCTAACTTTTCTACTTTCAGAGATATTCGCATTGAAAGTTTTCAAATTGACACCCTGTATTTATTTTTCAAATTAACCAAATACAAAAATAATTTCTCAAAACTAACTAAATTATCAAAACTAAAAATGAACCGTCTTGCAAGGTCAGAGATGAGTTCGTTGATAGTTCTGTTCTCACAGAAATCAGCAACCAGTCAGAAGGAATTTCATGGAAAAAATCATAAAACTGGTTGTTGGCGATTTGCACCAATCAAAAACTCTCTGGTTTGTGATTTCTGTGAGTAGAACAGACCTATAATCTACACCATCGAACATGTTATGACCATCAATCCATCGAGTGTGTTCAATGGTCAAAGGTTATAACATTTCCAATTCCTAGAGCGAAAGTCCGTTCAATCTATCTTGAGACAAAGATGATCGAAAGATGATCGAAAGTGCCTTGATGAGCGGTGACAGATGACAGTGGTGACACGTAAATTAACTTTTATCGGACATTGTTGTTGGATTTTTTATTATGTCTCTATTATTCACTGGCGTAGCCCAAAAGATCTTAAATTTTATAATAATTTTTCAAAATTAAAATAAACAATCCCAAAAATACCGTAAAAGAACCTAAAAAAGAGGGCATGACACCCAAAAATTTCGCGCCTGCGGCGCTTTGCTTCCGGCACCCTTCCCGATGGGCCCACAAGAAAAGATTCCTACAAATTTTCCCTCCCCCAAGACAAAATCCTGGCTAAGCCAGTGCTATTATCCTTGTGGCATAAAACTTTTTTTTAAATTAACTTGTTAACTCGAAATAATTTTTGTTTGCAATTTAGCGCCCCTAATCGTGGCGCCCTAGGCGGTTGCCTCGGTTGCCTGTGCCTAAATCCGGCCCTGACCATAATAGGATCCTAATCAATTTTTCCCAAAGTAAGTCAAAGTTATCCATGAAAAATGACAGATATTCGTGAATGTGTATATAGACATCAGAAAACTTATAACCGACGACAATAAGAATAGAAGATAATCATACTCGGTATCGAGTGATCGCCTATGATGATGATTATTGATGATGACAGCCTATTATAATTATTAATAATAAAATTGATAATAACTATTGTAAAAATAGTAATATTTATCGAAAATGCAATCCATCGTGTCATAATGCATATGGACATTCACACATTGAACACCCTGTATCTCAAAAACTAGTCATAGGATTGAGTTGTGCCCATGGTAGTTATTGATCAGGAAGCTCAGATCTATAACATACTAAAATTTGGTTGAATGAAGGTTGAAGCCCACCCTATATATTATTAAATTCCTTGTTATTTTACAAAAAATAAAAAAAAAAAAAAAAATAGGTCATATACAGTGTGTTATTTAAAAATGTGAAACGTGGCCTTCTTTTTGGATTTTTCGATGTTCCACAACTATACAAATAGTAGAAAAGATGTTCTCCTAAATTAAAATTAGTGTCCGAGGTTTTTCGAGATAATATTCACTCTTTTATTGTTTTTATCTGCTAAGCTATGAACGCACAGTATAATTTATATTAATATAACAATATTAATCATATTTTGCACTTATATACTCATGTTTTAAAATTTCAATGCCCCTAAATAATTATTTACAAGATGGTAATAGTAAATAGGCTTATCTAATACCGAGGGAAAGTAACACCCAATAAAGCGCACATCCATGCAACCACGGGTGTTACATTTAAAAAACCGAACCGTTGTCGAACGGATTGCCGAATGCTAAACAGGGTGTTACTTACCTCCATGCATCCCGCAGATAGTCAACAAACCAGTCAAGCGCACTACCACCAATTCCATATTTCTGCAACTTCAACAATAATATTTCTCTATCAATAGTCTCGAATGCCCTTTTCAGGTCCAAAAACACACCCACCACATATTTATTATTATCCAGATCATTTTTTATTTTACATAATAGTATATTGTGTATTTAGGTGGAAAAGTGACACATTCTCGGCCGACGGTGTAAATTGACAAACACCGGAGGCCGAGAATGTGCTTTTCCACCGAAATACACATACTATTTTTTCTCCGATCGGTTAAATACCTGTTAAATGTTTGTCTTTTAGTTCCAATTATACAGCAATACGAGAATCACTTTCCCGGCCTAGGCCGGAAAAGTGTTTCCCGTATTGTTATTCATTGATTCCTTAGCAACTATTGAATCATAATTGAAATACCAGAATATTGAGTTTTGCGACCTGTCAACCGGACAAAAATGCTGACATTTCTTAAAGTTAATTGTAATGCAGATTCACAGGAGTGCTTCTGCCTGAACCCGGACTGATTGTTTACCAAAATAGCGCTATTTGTAATATGTTCGAGCAATTCATCATAAACAGCCCTTTCCAAAACCTTCTCTATTGGTGGCAGTGTATTGATCGGTCTGAACTCTTTAGCGTGAATGGTACCATTGACCTTTTGAATGGGGATAACAATACTAGATTTCAGTGCCTTGGGAGTTCTTCCAACACTAAGAGATGCATTCACCAAATTTAAAATAATATGACCTATTGCTTGAAAAACCTCTTTTAGCATTTTAGAGTTAAGAATTTCATTAATAGAAAATTTGTTGTCTAGACCGGTAATAATCTTCGCAAGGTCTGAAATTGACAATAAATGAAAATGATGCATAGGTTGATAGATTTTAAAATTTAAAAAATAACTGCATTGCAATACTGGAATACTTGCAACAACGTCTATTATACTACTTATAAAATATTTATTAAAGGAATCAGCGATCTCATTACTATCTCTTAATATTTTAGTTTGACCATCGATTTCAAAACATATAGCATTGGGAACATCCCCGTTATTTCCACTCACTAAACTTTTTAAAGTTTTCCACATTTCTGCTGGGTTATTCCTAAACCTATCAATTTTTTCTACATAATATTGGTCCTTATTAGCTTTCAACAGACCAACGACTCGGTTTCTTAAACCCTTAAAAATTTGCCATTTTACTGCTTTTTCATTGTCAGTGGCTGTGACAAAGATCTTGTAGGCTCGATCCCGCTCCCTAATCTTATCAAAAATCTCATTATCGAACCATGGCAGCTTTGATTTATATTTACAGACTTGAACGGGTGCAACACTGTTAACAACTTTTTCACAATTTGTGGATATTTCTTGATAGATAAGATCGACATTTACAGTGTCTAAATTCCAGTTACAATTTAGCATATTTGTTCTAATCATATTTAAATTAGATTCACTAATATTTCTATACTTTTTCATTACATCATTACATACTTTTGCACTAAAAAGATTTACACTCAATATCGAATGATCAGCTATTTTTGGAACATCGTGAACCTCCACAAGTACATTATCTTGGTTTGTTAAAACATAATCTACTAAAGTTGCGCTATTAGCTGTCACTCGTGTATGCTTTGAAACAAGCTGAGTTATACCATAGGTAGAAAAAAGACATTTAATTTTGTTACTATAAAAGCCAGACTCCAAGAAATTTATATTAAAATCACCAACAAACACACATCTATTGCTATTCGCAAAGATATTATCAAAAATACCATCCAAGTCCTCGATAAATTTCGCATTAGAACTATCTTAAATTCCCTATCCTCAATATCATCTGTTGTTCTCGTTTCACTTAGCAGAATAAGTTTTGGATTATAAACCGCAATACATTGCCTGACTTGATCAATGTTTTTTAGGACACTCTGAGCATTAAGATAGACAATATCACTATTCAGGGGTATATCAGGTTTGATAGTTAGTTTTTTTTATTATTTTGAATTTTGTTAATAATAGTGGGCTTACCATTGATATACTTTATTGTCTTATTATCCTCACCATTTTGAACCATTGATTGAAACTCAGCCTGCACTACTTTAAAATATTCGCGCTGCATTTTGGTTTGATCATTATTAATCTTCACACTAGGCACAGCCACTAGGCTTCTATTTTTTTTTAAGCACATACTTTGCATCTTCCTCTTTAGCCAGACATACTTTAATTGGTCGATTCTTGTTGGGTATAAACTTTTCCAATCTATAAATTGACAACTTATTTTTATCGATATTAAAATTCTCCAATATCCTCTCAACAGTTTCACTGTCTTCCTTCATGCGCTGTGTCTGTGTATTCATTTTTGATTCAGTTACGTTATAGACTAAGATGTTGCTTGCTCTATTTTTTCTTTCCATCATTTCAAAAATCAGTTCCTCCCTTTCACCAATTGCTGTCTCCACTGCTGGATCCCTGCAACTTTTCCCCGCCACATCTACTGATTGCTCAACTTTAATAATCCGTTGTTCCAATGTAACCATTCTACTTATTGTATCAGAACCCTGATTTTGAATCATAACATCCAAATCACTGAGCCTCTTCACTATATTGGGCAAATTAAACATGTTTTCCCTACATTTAGGACATACAAATGGCATTACTCTAGATACCATTAATATCACCCTAATCTCTGACGCAGATATATTGCCACATGCCCTACAAATAACATTTTTGCATAGGTCACAGGGATACCCAAAAGTATCCCGTTTTGACTCTTTGAAAACACACTTGCAGTTACATTTGTGACAAACTCCGTTTCCACTCATAATGAAGATGTTCAAAACCAAACAGTCAGTTGTACTAAACACAGTACAATTTCAAAGCACAAACAACTAAAATAATTCCGTCTACGATTTTGCTTATCAGTTTTATTCAGATAAGGCTAAGGTAACATAAACAAATCAATCAAAAAAAAAAAAGGCAGGATATCAACACATCACAGCAACAGCACCAGCCTATTTTGGAAAATTGGAAGCTTTGGATAAAACGCACAAAAATCCGACATTCGCCAAAATGTAGGGATCAGAACGACGAGTCCGATGATCCCAAACACCACAAATTCCTAGATAATACCGGAAAAATAACACTTAAACGGAGCGATCTAAAAGCACGTCCTTCTCGCTGTACTTCTACCTACTACTTTATCTAAAAACAGTTACTCGTTTAAGATATACAGGGTGTTGAAATTTAAACAACCCCCTTTCATATCATCTGAAGGGCTAATGCTAGGCTGTTCAAATTTTCAGGGATGTAGGAATGATATTGAAAAATTCGTATAATGCATCCCTATTTTCTACTTGGAACTACCCCAAAAAAAATTAAATTTGAAAAAAAAGTGCCTTTTTTTTTATTTTCTCGGACACAATACCCTCCATGTGAATGGTTCAAATATTATTTTGTGCCCACCTCCAACATATATGCATAGACACCAAAAGCATTTCCTGAATTGAAGGCCCGAAATTTGTCCACTAATTATGCCCTATGCACTTTCTACGTTCTTGCTACCTTCTAGCCATAACGGTAGCCCAACGGTCGGAAAACGTCACGCAAATTCCATTTTTGCTTTTTTTCGCCAATGATCTTCAGCAATCAGTTTATCTTATAGGGGCCTTTCTAATTAATTTATTATAACAGTATCAAGTATATTTCATGCAATTTAAGCTATATGTTCCAACCAATAAAATACAATAGCGACATCGACTGCTTGTAGTCGTTTCCACATCACCCAACGGTGGTGGGGAAACCATGTAGGTACTCTACCTCAAGAGGTGCTGCCCCTGTAGGCCTACTAGATGTATTTTTATTCTCGCATCTACTTGGTTAGGGGGTGCTAAATCTGTGAATAGGTGATGAGATAATGGAATAAAACTGGAATTCGCTATAAAGTTTCTGAGCTTTGGGACGCCACTGTGGCGCAACGGTTGCAAAATATTGAAAAAAATGAATTATGAACTTATATGTAGAGCAAATGGTGGTCTTCAATTTCGTATAAATTTCCTTCCCATACAATGCATACCTAAATAACAAAATGATCGCAAGAAAGTGGTTGCGACAACTTCCATAAGGGGCAGGGTTAGTTTCTGGGGGGATGTTGTAGTAAGTAGATATATTTTTGGAAAGCTTATTCAGTGCGCTACTGACCTATGTGAAACAAAAAGCCAAAAAAATTGTTTTTTTTTTCACCCCCTTAATATATTTTTTTCTGTCTAGAGGGGTTGTACTAGAAAAATGCTTTTGGTGTCTATGCATATATGTCGGAGGTGGAGACGAAATAATATTTGAACCATTTACATGGAGGACATTGTGTGCAAGAAAATTAAAGAAAAGGCATTTTTTTTCAAATTTTATTTTTTTTTTGGGTGGTTCCAGGTAGAAAATTTATTATACGAATTTTTTAATATCATTTCTACATCAATAATCCCTGAAAATTTTAACAGCCTAGCATTAGCCCTTCAGATGATATAAAAGGGGGTTGTTTAAATTTAAACACCCTGTATATCTTAAGCGGGTAACTGTTTTTAAATAAAACATAAAATATACCAAAAAATCGGCCAATTATTTATGAGTATTTGCTGTATGGTTTGTGGTGGATTCGCTTTAGTATCCAGTGGAACAATAAGAATTTCCAAAACATTTTTTTCAAGGTCATTCAACTTTAGAGCGCCACCCCGGCTAAAGGGTAGGTGATAGACATATGCTGTCGCTGAATAATTTGTAAAGAATTTAGTCCTCTTTAATTTACTATGGAGGTATTTTTTTGTAGAACGTAGCGGAAGCACTACACCACATAAAACGTCCTTTCGGGGGAAAAAAGGGGATGTTCCAGGGTGAAATTTTGTTGGAAAAAGTTAGATCCACAATAAGCAGCCCTTTTCTTACCAGAAAAAAAATAAATAAAACAGAACTTGTGTCGAGTTTGCGAGGTTCAACCTCTCTTTCCTGGCCTATAACTAAACGAATATAATATTTTGTATTTGAAAACCAACAGAAACTTAAATAAAACGGTAATCGCAAGACTTTTAATTTAAAACTTTTCGGTAATCAACGGAACTTTGCCTCACGCAACTTTATTTCGTTAAATTAGTGCCTGATGGCCGATAAGGTACTTTTTCCACGAGAGCAGTAATCACATTTGACTCAGTAAGATGGCCAGAATCAACCTTTTAGGTCTAAAGTCAAAATTTAGAAGAGACGAAGAAAAGGAGAAGTTGAGCAAGCAGCGCTTCTCTTTGAAAAATGACGAATGGAAAGTATTGGAACTAAATTGGTATTTCAAATTCAAACGAAAAGCGTGCCCTCTAGGTTAATAACTACTATTATTATTGGCGGCAGAAACCTTCTTTTAATAATGGCCGTCAGCAGACTGTCAGCATTCAAGGCAACAATTTATGTCGGTCGAGACATTCGGTCCTTGGGGTAATGATGCGAAAAATCTGGTGTTATTTTTTTACATTATTATTATTACTTTAAATCAAATATCTAATATTGTGTATCTTATAATATATCCGACCACAAATATATGTATATCTATTACATATACAGATATCTACTAATGGCCACTTGCACGGCTATCACTTAAGGGATGTTTATTCTAAGTGGAGCTTTGAATGCGACTTTTGTTTCTACAAGAATCACATTCAAAGCTCCACTTGGATTAAATATCCCTCAAGTTATATCGGCGCAAATGGCCGTAAGTATTTCGTATTTTCAAAAAAATTCCCAAAAACTTCTCCAAAAACAAGATGAAGTCTGCTTTTAGAATTAATAACAACTTAGATAAACTCAATAAAGATACCAAATTTATATAAATCGAATACACTATCCAAATCAGGAGTTTACTTATTAGAATGTGGTACTTGTCTTAAAATATACAGGGTGTCCACTTAGTGCGCTATCGGACGATATCTCCTTACAGGGTGATGCAAGAAAAAAAATTAATTTACAAAGTTGTTTGATATTCTAATATGCATTAGCTAAAAATATTTTTGAAAATACAGAATGCTTCGTTTATGAGGTTTGCGACAGAATTTTGTTATTTCAAATGGAATACCCTGTATGTGATTGCATATTTGGATTCTACATAAAATTCTGAGCAGATTTCATGTAATACACCCTATACCTAAGTGACTTTTTGTAACTTTGACAGGCTGTAAAACCTAAACGGTTAATTTTAGACAAAAACCGATTTTACATTCCTATCTTAGATTTTTATAAACTATCATTTGACACCAACTTTGAATTTAATCCATGATTAAAAATTCCAGTTAAATTTAATCTCCGGTTAGATTCAAAGTTGGTGTCAAATAGTAGTTTATGAAAATCTAAGATGGAAATGTAAAATCAGTTTTGTCTAAAATTAACTATTTAGGTTTTACAGCCTGTCAAAGTTACAAAAAGTCAATTTTTAACTGTCAATATTTCCAAAACAGTTGAACTTAGGTATAAGGTATATTACATTAAATCTGCTCAGAATTTTACGTAGAATCAAAATATGCAATCACATGCAGGGTGTTCTATTTGAAAACAAAGTTCTGTCGCATAGCCCATAAACGGAGAACCCTGTATATTCAAAAATATTTTTAAATAATGCATATTAGAGTATCAAACAACTTTGTAATTTAAATTTGTTTTCTTGCATCACCCTGTAAGGAGATATCGTCCGATATCGCACTAAGTGGACACCCTGTATACTGAACAAACAGGAAAATCTTTCAAAACAAGAAATAAAGAACTGCAATCTAGCTTCAAATAAAATAAGACTCTTTTCCTTCTGGTATTATACCTATTATTGGATGAACAATAATTATTGTATAATGATAATGCTATTGTTCCCCATTGTTAAATTTATATACATTATTAACATAATTTTTACCCTAGCTTATGACCCCTTGTTGTTGTTGCTTTTATATCTTCGTGTAGCTACTTTTTACATATGTATGTTGTTACCTCTGCTATATTTTATATATTCTAGCTTAGCATATTAGTTTAGTTATCCCGTCTGAAGAAGGCACCGTGTGCTGAAGCTGAAATATGTTACGGTTTCATTCAAATAAAATTGTGGAAATCTAAAAACTTTTTGTTTCCTTTCAAAACTTATAATATTTGTTTCATAATATTTACTTCTCATAATAATGAAGGCGTAAACAACGTCATCCCCATTAAACAATCTAACTGGTCTTCAAGATCAAAAAACTTCTGGTATTAATTTCAATTGAGGTGTAAGTCCCAAAAAATGAAAGGTAATATTAACTGGTCTTCAATTACAGGATATGGAAAACCCATTTTCTAAGTTCGATAAGTTATGGTCTGTTTAGTCGTGTTTCGATTATACATTTCAACTCCTGATCTTGTTCAGTTAATGGCTGTCCTGATGCTATTTCTACCATACTCGATCTAAATCCAAAATTTTTTTGTTGATTATTGTAGTTGTTCAACTTTTAATTGTATTTCTTCTGCATCATTTTTTGGATCAAAATGAACAACACTTTGAAAAAACCTGAACATAATAAGTACATAATACATATACCGGGTGCCCACAAGATCACTTTCCGGCTGCCATTTTTTT